GTCTGGTTTCAGATTCTCTGATCTCTGTGTTTTTTTTTTCCACACAGGTTGTTTTTCCTTTTTTTATATAGTTAAATATAACATAAACTGCCCCACTTTTCTGGTTAAAGTGCACCTGAATTTTACAGCAGAAACCGGATGTGTTTTAGATGTTATTGAGATATAAAGCAAGTTTCATGAATATGTGGGTAAATCCCCCTACAGTAGATGATGCCAAATGAGATTAAAGAATTCAGACCACACTTCACTACCGCATCAAAGCACCAGTATAGTTGGAGCAATCCAACTCTTTCAGGACAATGCTGCCTTCACCATGAATACTCTAGAGGAATATTTCTAGGCTTGGTTGCATCATCTTCAGCACTTGAAAAATATGTTTAATAATTTTGTTATCATTGAAGCACTGTTGCCTCTGTGATTTTACTCTACATGAGCTACCTGCCAGTTCCCTGATCTGTCCCCCCAATGGTTGCCCTTGTTAATTTTGGTTTTCTGTTATGATTTTGGGTCATTTGAGATTTTTATTTTTTTTTTTTTTCCTCTCTATGTTTATTGTGATCTTTACATTTTATTCTGTTTAGTTTTAGGGGTTATCATTTCTGTTTGGAGTTTTTCCCATGTTTGGTTTTAGTTGTTTACATTAGGAATTTGTTTTGTATTAACCTGAGCCTGTTTTTTGGGCATTTGGGTCTTACCATATTGATTAACTGAAATAATTGTATTACATTTTGTGTTTTTCCATGTTGTCTCATTTATTATATAGTCAGATGTATCTAATTTATCTTACGGTATATTAATTTCTGCATGGTTTCGTTTATTAAATTTTTTCCCCCAGCATTTTTCTCTAGTTTAGTTATGGTTTTGTTACCGAATGTACAATATTAGAATCTTGATATTTCATATCTCAATTGGCTGATTAATAATAACAATATTTTTTTCCTAGAATAAATATAGCAAAAATAGCTGTTTGACTATCTGTTTTTTTAACCTAAAAAAAAAAAAAAAAAAAAAAACATCCAGTCCATGTGGTTTTTGTGGTTCCTGAGTTCCTGTTTACAGTTTGGTCCAGCTTCCTTTGAATTAATGAGTGCAGTGAGACCTGTGTCAAATGGTTGGAGGAAACACATGCATCTATCAACATGCAAATGATTTTTAATTAAAGCTCAAAACTTTCAGGTGGTGGCAGAAAACCAGAAAATTTTAAGTAATTCTACAAATATGACTAGAATCATGCTAGAAGCTTGGAATGTGACTGAAGTGCACCTGGCTAAGATACTTTCTTATGTTATCAGTCCAACATGTACAGAGAAAAGTTACAACAGAGCAGTATGGTCTCTTTTATGGTTTTTACAAGAGATACAAAAGACTGAAACTAAAGCTGTCATCCCTTATAATGTGGGACACATCATGAGGATGAATCCATGTATAGCACTGAAGAAGGAGAGCAGAACTGAATTCAACCTATATCAACAATGAGAGTTGGGGAGCAGAGCTGAGGTGTAGGCTGATTCCCAATAGTGCAAATTGATAAGAGCACTTCAGTTAAAGCGGAAGTGCATCAGCGGTTGCCACAATAAGTGCTTTAATAATGCTGGCAGAAATTGCAGAAACTATTCTAAAGATAAAAAAGTCCCAGACAAAATAAAGTGCATTGCTCATGAACAGTGAACCAACATACCTGTCAACATGTTCAGAAGTCTGACTGAACATTTCCTGAACATTACAGAAATAACCTTATTTTAGTGGTGCTCTAAAAAAAATTGTTCAGAAGCTCCATCAAGCTTTTTTACTTTATTTTATCAATATATACACAAAATCAATTTCACGAGTTTCATTTTTCATAATTTTTATTATTCATTATTACCTTGGTCAATGTCTGTTTGTTTTACTGGTTGCTGTTTTTTTCAGTCTTTAATGGATAGGTATATAAGCTTTCAATTACAACTGTATAGGAAGCCTATCCTATGGATTGTGACAAAAGGCATGATTTCTTCAGGTGTACACTGTAAATATATCCACCTTCATAAAGTTTTATGGTGGAGATCTTTAGCCGCTGACTACATTTGTGTCACTTTTCAATTCAATAATACTTTATTAGTCCCAAAGGGATATTCAGTTCGGACTGCAGTCTGGTTCCCTGTCTGGTTCCATCCTGTAATGATGTTTATAAGGCTGAAGGCTGTCCAGATTCAGCTAAGCAGTCTGGAGCTCATTCCCTACCCAGGATAGCATTCTTAAGGTTGCGCCCAGAAATGTTAAAAGATAGGAGCTAGAAGCTACAATTTGCTCAGTTCAGTCAGCCAGAGATCCAACAACTTCCTCTGCTTGACGGAATCAGCAGGGATTTGTGTAAGACAGAAGCAAGCTCTTTGAGTTTCACCACTTCCTCTTGAAGACATCAGCCTACACCAGCCTCCACAGACTGCTAATCTAATATATCATAGGAGAGGTAATGTTTCAATATAAACCTGACAAGATTTTCCGCAAAACAAAAGGAAAGAACATCCTGCATTCAGTTTAAATTTGCACCTTTGCAGGTTAAGATTTACTTAGCAGCTTCATCTACATCTTCAAACTAGTCTGCCATGACCTTTTTCTGTTTTTGCCTCTAGCCGTTTTACATATTCATAATCAGCAAGGTTAGTAATATCTGTTCTTTCCCACTGGTAGGTGATATATGCAAGTGAAAGTTTCCCACCTGGCTTTTATACTTTGATACTACAGCTTTGTATTTTACATCTTCTGTCTCTAAATGTCTAATCTTTCCATCTCTAATGACAAGTGCTGTAGCTGTTATGTGGCAGATTGTTGTTGTCAATTCTCATTGTTCATAGGTAATTTGCTTTCAGTCAGGAATGTTACCTAAACTGTAGTTGGTCAACTTATTGTTTTTTTTAGGGGTCATGCAGCTTACCGTTTACCCACAGATGAAACAAAAAGCTGGCTCATGGTCAGGCTGGTAATCTGTGATAACGGACATTTGCCCGATGGGCCGGTCCTAATGTCAGCGTGCGACACTTACTTACTCTCCGGCTGAACCTCCTACCTGTGACAGTAAATAAGAAGTAATACAATGTTAAGTCCCTAAATGATGCATCCAGTATATATAGGCCTTCCTTGTCATGCACATCCTTATGACGGTTGGCATATGGTGTCCTTTTCTATTTCTTCAAACTTTCTTCAAATCATTTCAACAAACTAAATTATAATAAAACCAAAATGCTTTCTTTAAACTTGACTACGATGTTCCACTTATATTTGGCAAATTTTTGTTAGAATATTTTGCAAAAATATGTTGCGGTTCATTATGGGGTTTTGCATCTAAAGGCTAACGTTTACATTCCTACGTGCATTGTTGCCAGGTTGGGATGTTTCCCAATCTGGCAGTTTAGGGTGGCCTTCTATGGGTAAAACATTTTTTTCTTTAGATTGATGGCTTAAGAGATCAAAAGACTTGGGTTCAAATTGGGTATCAGGCGGTTCATGAACATTTTTTGGGCTAGAAAACGTGAGTCAGTGTCATCTGGCAACCGTGCTGATGTGGTGAGTAGCGATCCATGGGAATATGGATGCTGCGGATGTTGCTTCTGTTATATTTTCATTTGGAACAGCTGGGCTTCAATACATCCCTCTGCAATTGGCTGATAGACTTCCGCACAGACAGACGTCAATCTGTCCGGGTCGGACAGAACACCTCTGACATCATCATTCTAAGCAAAGGCTCCCCTCAGGGCTGCGTCCTGAGCCCCATGCTGTTCACCCTGATGACACATGACTGCATCCCCAGGTTCACCACCAATCTCATCGTGAAGTTCGCAGACGACACCTTGGTGGTGGGCCTCATCAGAGATGACAACAACCAAAACTATAGGGAGGAGGTGGAGCAGCTGGTGGACTAGTGCAGTGAAAACAGCCTGATCCTGAACATGGAGAAAACTTTTCATCTCAGCGCTGCGTGTCCCGAGCCCGTAACATCATCAATGACCCCTCACACCCCACCATGGATTGTTCTTCCTGGTGCCTTCTGGGAAGAGGCTTCAAAGCATCCGATGCAGGACCAGCAGATTCCGAAACAGCTTCTTCCCCACTGCCAACAGACAGCTGAATGTTGTATAAAATGGGGCTTAAAAAAATGTAAATCATATACCAGTCTTATGTTTACATTTGATCACTGCTGCACTTTAGAAATGGAAATGTCTTGAGAGCTGTACTGGACTGGACTCTGTGTGTACAAAATGACAATAAAAGTCTGTCTAAGTCTTTAAACAATTAAAAGACATGAACACTGTTCCATAAAAGACTGGTTGCTGTTTCTCCTTGCAGGAAAACTGAAATCCATTCTATAAATTATTTAGTTTGTGACACAAAGGAAACAGCTGATTAACATTTTGTGAGCTTAATCTACGTATATTGATAGTTGTTGGTAAATTGAAAGGAAAAATCAAACCCATTTGCTTAAGATTGGAATTGTCTCTGCAAGAATTGAAGAGATTTCTGGTGGAGGCATGGGCATGCTTGGAGTTAAACTGAAGCCCACGTAGCAACCACAAGATGTCCCTGCAGCTCAAAGCTGCTGGCAGGATGTGGATCTGTGATGAAAATAAAACGGGGTGACACACTTAGGCTTTGGAGAATTTGAAAGGTAAAAAGTGGTTTGCATCATTGAATGCCACATTTAGCTGCCACACGTGGCCTCAACTTAACTCAAAGTTTACAATCCAAACACAGCCTGCACACAAAACACACAGCAGCCTGTCAGCATTGGATACGTGGAATGTTATGTGTATACAATAATACAGATTTGAACAAAAGCACATTTTAGTTTGATGCCATTTTGACCTTAAAGCAAAGGATCAGAGAGGGACGGTGATCAATTATATCCACTCTATAGCTGCCAGAGCGCACAGGTAAGACAGCAGTGTTTATTCCTCCACAGCACAGTTACTGTAAACCACTCCCGCTCCTGGGATAGGGCGTGCGTCAGGAGCGCAGGTGAGATTATTTGAATATCCAGCACAAACCGTTTCCATCAGCCGATCGTGGAGGGAATAAAAGACTGGAAGACGAGTTTTAGGGAGTTCAGGGAATAAGGGCGAGTTTGAAGACTGATCCGTCCAAAGGTGATACAGAAGGAGGCTGAGGCGCACCAAGATTTGGGGAAACAAACTGGGGAATCCACGGTTATAAATAACAGTTTGATATTTTACTCTTTTATTAATCAAAGTACTACGAAGGGAATACACATCTGCAGCCATGAAGAAATCCTCAAATCCAGGTGAGATAAGTTTAAGCTTTTTTTTTTTTTTAATCTTTCATCGGGACAACACTCTCGTTTCTTTTTTCAATTTGTAAAAACAAAGTTAACATTTTTTTTTACAGTGAGAAGCCTATTTCTTTTTTTTTTTTTTTTTGCGCTGCGCCTCCACAGATCTGTGCATTTATAAAATCCCACTCTTGCAAAAGGCCCCACGCTGCACTGGATCTGTGGGTGTGGTTTTTTGATCAATTCCTCCGCTCAGAGTCGCATAAACAGGCTGTGACATCATGACAGAAAGGTGACACAGAAAGACAGTCACCTTTTTCCATCATGAAGAATCACATCAACAAATAGATTCAATCTATGAGAACTTCTGTTGCTGCTGTTTTTTTTATATGTCGGACTGCTGTGAGAAAGCAGCGAAGGAAATGTGCTGGAAAAGACACCCAAGCAACTGAAAAATAGAAAGATTATCCTCACTACTAATAGCTCTCTTTGTTCAATCGAGAAGCACGTTGTTAGGAGGGAGAACAGATATATTAAAAATCAGATTATAATGAATATTTAACTGTAAAACTAATAACTTATAGAGAACAATGTGATACTAGGTGGATCTACCTAATAGATTGAATCTTTTATCCATCCATCCATCCATCCATCCATCCATCCATCCATCCATCCATCCATCCATCCATCCATCCATCCATCCATCCATCCATCCATCCATCCATCCATCCATTTTCTTACACTCTTATCCCAAGCTGGTCGCGAGGTGTGCTGGTGTCTCTCTCCAGCTGTCTATGGGGGGAGAGGAGGGGTACACTCTGGACAGGACGCCAGTCCATTGCAGGGCAACACAGAGACAAACAGGACAAATAACCATTCACACATACACTCACACCTAAGGGGACTTTAGAGAAGCCAAATAACCTAATAGTCATGTTTTTGGACTGTGGGAGGAAGCCGGAGTACCCAGAGAGAACCCACGCATGCTAAGGGAGAACATGCAAACTCCATGCAGAAAGACCACGGGTCGGGAATCGAACCCAGAACCTTTGAATCTTTTATATGTAAGAGTATTATTAAACTGGAATAGATTTCAGAGTCATCTCAGTGGACTCCTTGATGTGGAGGAGAAGCGGCTCTACTCCAAGCGTCACCAAACTCCTCACCCTATCTCTATAGGAGTGTCTGACCACCCTGCAGAAAGCTAATTTTAACTGCTTGTATCCTAGATCTCTTCATTCAGTCACCATTCAGATTTCATGAGCATAAGTAAAGGTCGGAACATAGACTGAACAGTAAATTTAGAGCTTTGCTTTTTGGGGTCAGCTCCCTCTACACCAAAACAGCTTGCAAGCAAGACATACTCACAAACTCCAGGAAATACATCTTGCCAGAAGCCAGTACATGTGTGACGTTTATGATATCAGCATGTCAACCAAATGTGGAAGGCGGAAGCAAAACAAGCATTGATGAGGCCTCTATTTCTTTTTTGAAAATTAGCAAAAGGGAACTATTTATGCCTTTGAGGATGGGAAAGATGTTTGGATGCTCGGTAGGAGTGATATTTCATTTAACTCCGCTGGTTGGGTATCAAATCAAGCATGTGATATGTCACAGCTGATGGGATTGGCTAAAAGCTTGATGTTGGAGGCAAGTGCCACTTTGTGTTTTATGCGGTCAGCTGGAAAAATTGCACTGAGTGTCCCTTTTGCAAACACTTTCTAGAGGAGCCTTTCTAGATGGGTACTGTGTAGAATTCAAATTGAACTACTTCTGTGCAGGGTGAGCTTTATAGCAGCAGCTGCACTGATTCATCTATCGATCACCTGGTCTATATTCCCCTCACCTGTGTACAGGATCCCAAGATATTTGAACTCGTCGGCTTGAGGCAGGAACTCTTCTCCAACTTGAAGGGGACAAGTCCATTTTTCTGGTCAAGAACTATGTCCTTGTACTTGGAGGAGCTGATTCTCATTCCTCCTACTACACACTCAGCACTGAACTACCACAGTGTGCACTGTGGCAGTTCATTTCTACATCAACACGACCGTATGAGCAAAGATGTAATATTCCAATGCATGCAATAAGGAATTGAACTAAGCATTTCAGTATTTCCCCAGTGGAGATGTGTAAAGGAAGAAGAAAATGACTAGATCAAGGAAAATACACCAGTAGTTTTAAAAATACAATTAAACGTGCTGTAGGAGATCTATATTTTTGAACATACACAATCGCGCCTCTCCCTTCAGACCAACCCTCGAAACCACGCCTTCAAAACACATGAACACGCATGCGTTCTTTTGAGGATTTTCAGATGAGATCGAGAACGAAACAAGCCGAGACCGAGTGCTCGTGACACGAGCTAACAACAACATAATGCCATGTTCACAGCTAAAGCAGCAGAGGCAGCAAAAGCAGCTAGTTTACATGCAAAGTCAATGGTTGACGCGCATCACGGTGCAGCAGAAGGTCCAGCCACGGGTCTAGAGCAACAGGAGCAGTGCGTCTGAGCAGCTGGAAGGGAGACAGGCACAGCACTGATGATGCAGAGCGCTATGATCACTCCTCTGAAACAGTTTATTAATGCCTAAATTATTTTAAAATGCCCAAATCTGCCGGCAAAACATGTTCGTTGTTATTATCCTGGTGCCTGCAGTTTGGATTACCGCTGCGGCAAGCGGCGAAGAAACGACGGGGCCAGAGGCTGCTGTTGAATGGGAATCCCAGTGACAGCACACCGCTGGTATACAAGGGTTTTAGCGGCTCTGACAGAAATAATATTTGAAGGCAGGATGGTAATCTGAATTAACTGAAGGAACTGACTACACTGAACTTCAGGTGGACTTTCTCAGTTCAAAATAGATTCAAACTACTTTTTGTCCACTGATCACAGTGGCCATTGTTTCAGGAAAACAAAGGATAGGGTAGCTCTGCCCAACGTGCATCAGACCCACTGTTTACTCTGGCCAGATCTGGCTTGACCAATCACAGCAAAGGAGGTGGGACTTTGCAGTGTGTGACGCTCAGTGCCAAAATTAGTTTCTTCAATGTCCTGACATTTTTTGTACAGACAACAAAGGTACAAAAACAGAGAACATCACTTGGAATTTTGTGTCACATCCGTACTTATCTGATTGGTTTGAACTTTTAAATCGAGATGTATCAGCCAGACTAATACGCCATGTAAGAGTTGTATCAGTCCGGCTGGCCAGGCTAATACAACTCAAATACAGGATCTTATTATTGTAACCAGGTCATTCTTATTGACTAATAAACTGTTTTATTTTATTTTCACATTTTTGAGAATAAGGCTTAAAAACTGGTGAGCATATCACATTCACTCAAGGCCTCTTTATCTCTGTTGTCTCCAGCTTTTCTTCTTGGTAGCATCCTTCTTTTACTTTCTGCCTTCACAGCCTGCTATCTCACTTATATCTACATTCAGAGCTCTTAAACTCTCCTCCTCCCCCCTTGTTGCTTCTCAAAATCTCCCACATCGGATTCTGCCTGTAGAATGCCAACTTTCCCGACTCCTCTTCCCAGAGTCCTTAGGTGCGATGGAGCGTCTGACAGCTTTCCATTGGAGCCAAGCGCATGTTGGGTCATGCTGCTATGCCGCCTCCTCTTCGGCTCTGTCTGTGATTGTGTGTGTGTGTGTCAGAGAGAAAGAGACAGAGAGAGCTCTCTCTGTGTGAAGTTGCCTCATTCTTTGTCAGAGCTTCCACTTGGAGAATAGTCTAATAACAAAGTACACATTAAGTCTGCTGTGTGGATGTGTTGTGAAAGGTCCTTTCTCTTCAGTGTGAAGAGGTATTTGGACAAGCATCCGGGATGCGGAGGTGTAGCATTAGTACTGGGGGTCTGACCTGTGTGTGGGCATGTGTGCCTCTCTTGTTGGAGAAAAGAAAACCCCTCTCATACATAAGCAGGTTTTAAAGGTTACTCATTCAAATTTTTATTAACATACTAAAACAGAGTTTATGGTTGGTTGTGAATGCATGTATATCTGTTCACCCATGCAGCCTCTTGCGCCTGAAGAGCTGATCCCTGCATTAAACACCACTCCCTTAAGTCACCTGGATCAATGAGTAACCTGTATGAACACAACAACACAGTTGTTATTTTCCAAGTACACACCTTATGGTATGTGCTTTCATGTCCTACTAAAAAAAAAAATGCATAAACTCCTAATCTACTCCTGCCTGTGTGACGGATACCTCACTCTGTGCTGTATTACGGCTTTTAGACTGTTTATACTGGAGGGAGAGCAAGGCTTTGATTCAGAGCCTGGAGCAATTGTTAGATGGTAACTTAAAAGTGGAGCTATAAACTGTGTTGAGACATATTTGCCCTGTCATCTAGAAGGGTATGCTGAAGATGGTCTAACCTTCAATTTAAAAGCTACACAACTGTGAATAATAGACTATTAAGGTAGTGGAACATGTGGACATGCAAGCACAGTGCTGTGGTTTGCTGTGATATGTGAGTAATTTTACTGTATTCCGGTTTAAGCTCAGGAAAACTTGGGAGTGTAAGACCAGAGAAAATATGAATGATTATGAGAAATGAAAAGGCTGTACTTTCTTGGTAGTTTCTCTGTGTAAGATATACTTATTTTTGGATTAATGGAAAAACAAACAACCATCCAGGGCCACATTTTCCCTTCAGTTTCGCTGAATAAAACGCAAGGTGAAAATATCCATCCATCTTCTCCCGCATATTCCATCAAGGTCACGTGGGGCCGGTGCCTATTTCCAGCAGTCTATGGGTGAGAGGCAGGGTACACCCTGGACAGGTCGCCAGTCTTTCGTAGGGCAACACAGAAACACACAAAGACATACAAGCATGTACACACACCTGAGGACAATTTGGAGATGCCAATTAACCTAACAGTAATGTTTTAGGACTGTCTGAGGAAGAAAGTCATGCATGTATGCAGAGAACCCACACAAGCATAGGACAACATGAACATTCCATGAAAAAGACCCTGGGTCGGGAATCATACCCAGAAC